TCATCAATGTTTCAAAAACAGTGCTGCTAGACTTCCTTTTAGGGAAGCAAAGGACAAAAAGATGGCATTCTTGGAGCAGGTGATAATTTGGTCTGAATAGAATAGAATAACAGAGTTGGAAGAGAGTCTATTCCAAATATTAGCCTCTACCTAGGATCAAACTCAGGGCCTCCTGATTGTTCTATTTCTTCAACATTCAAGGAATAGGAAGTGGTAATTCCCTACCTGTTCTCTCATGCAGCCCATTTCATTTTTCTACACTTGATTGTAGCCTGGACTGTGTATATTACATTAAGCCATGCTTTATTTTATCATGGTTTGATGAATAAATCAGAAATGGGCCAGAATCATATAACACACAAAGGTATCGATCGTGTTTAAAACAAGGCATCTGTGTTCATGAAATATTTAAGATAATCCCAAATAACAACCTTATGATTTTACATATTAGTGAACACAATCCACAAACTATAGTTAGGCAAAGTCACAAAATTGAGCTAACCTGAATAAATGATGTGCAGTTAGTCATTTTGATGAAGAAAATGGGCATAGATTTTGAAATTAACATTGTTCTGTTTCTCTTTCTCAGCATGCTCCTGGTGTACCCAAAATCCTGGTTGGCAATCGCCTGCATCTAGCCTTCAAAAGGCAAGTGTCTACTGAGCAGGCACAGGCTTATGCTGAAAGATTAGGCATGACATTCTTTGAAGTAAGCCCACTCTGTAATTTCAACATCACAGAGTCCTTTACAGAACTTGCAAGAATAGTGTTAATGAGACATGGAATGGACCGGCTGTGGAGGCCAAACAAGGGTAAGCAACAGAAATGTACTTACTTCTTTCCTATGTATGCCAGTTATATATTGTATTTAGTCAGGATGAAAAAAATTTACAAAAATATTTTGGTACATGCTTGTGATTTAATGTCATAACCAGCACCTAGTAAATGTTTCCCATTTTAAGATGTATAATCAGAAATTACCCTATGCATTGCTCAATTAAGATTGCTATACAGCAGTTCCTGGTAATCCTCCTGAGTTCATCATGCCAGTAATTTTGCACCACCAGAAGGGACTCCAAATCCCTCACGCCTCATCCTACTCCTTGAAGATAAAAGGCAGACCAAGTCAAAACCAACAGGAGCATTAGCAAACTGGGCTCAGCTTCATTTAAACGTCACCCTTTCCTTCAAAAGGAAAAGGCAAGGAAGATGTGGAATTGCAGAACCCATAGCAGTTCCACTGCCACCTCCCCTTAATGAGGAAGGATGTGGTATAGATAAAAAAAGAAGCAAACCAGGTTTTCAAAAATGCAGTGGTACCACTTTTATCATTTTAGCTTTGGGAGCTTTTCTAGGGGGCTCCAGTCCAAAACAATCCGCAAAATTATTTGTATCAAGGAAGGCAAGCCATAGTAATGGGAAGAATCAGTACAGGAATAGTGTGGTACTTCAAGAATAGTAAAATGAATAAAGATAGGGCTGTCAAAACATATCCAAAGTTCTAGCTGTGTACTGCCACCATGTGGCTGTTAAGATCTTTCTAATCTTGCTTGTTTTATGTTTCAGTCCTGAGTCTGCAAGATCTTTGTTGCCGTGCCATAGTTTCCTGCACACCTGTGCACCTGGTTGACAAACTTCCACTCCCTGTTGCCTTAAGAAGCCATCTCAAGTCATTCTCCATGGCCAATGGCCTAAATGCTAGGATGATGCACGGTCGTTCTTACTCTCTCACTGCCAGCAACAATAACAAAAGGAACAGCCTGAAAAAAGCCAAAATCATCCGTCCGCTCCAGAACCCTCCAAAGCCTTGTGTCAGAAATAGTTGCAAAATCTCTTAAGCTATCTTTGGAAATCTTTGCCCAGCATTGTAAACACAAGGACTAATTCAGTAGCCAAATCTATTGTATGTAGGTATTGCTTTGCAGGAACAGGAGAAAAAAGAAAAAAAATATTTTAGAATATTTGTTTTTAATAATGCTGCTTCCAGATATATGATGCATTCTGTGCAAACAGAGGAATGTGAAACTTTAATGTTGGATTTTATATATATCAATTTTTTGATGTGCATGAAATCTTTGTGTATTTTATAAAGGGAATAATTTATCACAATACTGAGCTTTTGTGTCACAATCTCAAAAGTGACTAATTTTTAATATTGCTCAATTACTACATTTTATTTGCAATTAGAATGAAAGTCAATTGTACATTCATCTAGTTTTAAACAACAATGTATTGTATACATTGTAAAATATATAAGTAGTGACATTATTCTAGTATTGTTTCAGTAAAGCATCTGATTCTGGTTTTGTACAGTTTATTGAGTGATTCTGAAGCACGACTTTTGAGCTACTAATGTAATATGCACAAGAAATTGTCTCATCCATGTATAAAACATTTGATAAAGTTTTTGCTATGTTTCAGAATTGTGGATTATATGCTTATTTTTCTGGTAAATCTACATTTTTGTATTAGATATTCTAGTGATCATTATATAGTGAAAAAGCCAAAGACATCAAGACATATTTGCTATATCCTAAGAAAAAATGTAATTTGAAAAGCTGCTTTATCAGGAAAGGACACTATTATTTAAAAATAAAAATAAATCCTGCAAAGTTTATGTGTGTTTTTCCAATTGAAATATTTCATTCTCCTTTCCCAGCTTTTGAATGCTTTCTCAGATCTCTTTTCCTCTATCAAGACAGATGTTTATTATAATTTGTTCGCAATAAAGGCCAGTTTCCTTCCATTTTAACGTAAGTGATCAGAAAGACTTGAAATAAATAGCCTGAATTATGGCATAAAGCAAATTTATTCGTATTTTTAAAATATTGGTGTTTTCAGTCAGGCAACTTAGGTTGCTACTGATGAACAAATGCAACTGCCATGTTTTCTGTCTCTAATAAATGTTATGATAAGCAAAATAATGCTAAGAAAATATTACCTATAAATGACTTAGTTACAAATGAAATACAGTACATTTGAATAGCTTTGGGTGGTTTAGAAATTTATGAAAGGAAATTGCAATGATCTTACTATAGATAGGGAATTTTTTCTGTTGATTTTTTAAATTTTAAATGTGTTTGTTTTTCATATAGTTTTGCTTCAATTTTTATTTTTATTTCCTTTGGGGGGGTCTAATTATTTATAATACTATACCATAGCTGCAGTTGCTATTGTTGCTTAGTTTATAATATCTTTATTGGGGAGAGGTTTCTCTAATCCAGGGCTGTCAAACTTGTGGCCTGTGGGCTGGATGCATCACACGCTGGCCATGCCCGTGCCTGGTTTAGCGAAGGGGGGGAATCACGATACGTTGCCTGATGACCCGAGTTTGGCACCACTGTCTAATCTATACATGTGCTACATTTCAGTTGTCTGCCCTCACTACCATTTTTCATAAACACAACAAATTCTTTACATGACATATCAGTAGCAACTGGCATTCTTGTTCTTGTCACAGCAAAATTACCTCATTATATTAAATGTTTTATCAGTTTTGATTTTCCTCAAGTCCTGCTGTGCTGCCTCATTGAAATAGTGATAGTGGAGAAAATAATCCAGAGGGGTGAGTGAAGGACGAGGGAAGTATACAGGTAATCCTTATGTTACAACCACTTCTTAGTAACAGTTCAAAATTATGACTCCACTCAACAGAGCATTTAAGACCAGTCCATGAACTTGTATCTTGCACAGTCCTGTAGTCACATGTTAACAATCCAGGTGTTCATTCACCTGGCTCATTATGCAACAAGTCATAGTCAAGTGTTTGCCATTTGCGACTTTCCCTGTCACCTTCCCATAAACAAAATCAATGGGAAGCTGACAGGAAGGGTTGTAAATCATCCCATAAATCACTTTTGCTTTTCACCCCAAGGAGCCCCACTATGGTGTACAAGATTACAAGGATTTTGTATGTGGTAATACAGTGGTTAAAATGCAATATCGCAGGCTGACTGCTCATGGCGAGAGTTCAATCCTGAAGATGCTCAAGATTGACTCAACCTTCCACCCTTCTGAGGTCAGTAAAGTGAGGACCCAGATTGTTGGGGGCATATGCTGACTCTAAACCACTTAGAGAGGGCTTTAAAGCACTTCGAAGTGGCACATATATCAAGGGCTATTGCTATTTCATACACCTGCCCATTGTTTCATACAACATGCTCACCTGCACTCAGAAGTGCTTGCTCTAGCCTCTACTAACCCCAAAAATAAAAAATTATCATACCTCTATAAATTTACTCAAACTAGCAAGGTATTGTCACTTATTAATCTAACAAAATTTCCATCTTTGCGCAAGTAGGCAATAAAAGCCAAGGTAGAGCTATTGTTGCATTCTATTTATATTATTCTATTCGTCCTATTTAGCTCCTCTCCACTCTGCGCCTCCTAGCTATCCTTTGAATGCGCTTGGGAGAGATTTGGGTGCGTTCAGTAACATGAACACCTAGGTTGTTACGTACGACTGAAACATTAGGTGGTTTGGAGGGGATGGAATTAAAAAAAAATCAGCTTACCCCTTCAGTGTTTATAAACAATTTCCCCACACATTCTTGCTGCTTATACCGGATCCAAATATGCATATTTTAATCCTCCCCATCAAAAAATATCTGGGATTTTATCTAAGAATCTCGTCTTTTCCTTCCCAAATCACCTCCGTTGATCGGCAATGTCACAATACAGCCGTATTGAACTGGCGTGGGTCTTACCGCCCCACTCCTCGCTCTCCAAAGTCGTTGCCTTACCGATTTGGTAAGGAGCGGGAGAACACAGAACCGACGTAAAGAAAGCGACAGTTCGGCTTACTACGACCTTGGGTTTTCCCGGTGTAATTCTAAGTAGCTTTACTCAAAAGTAGGAACGGTGTACCGAGCGGGCTCTCCGCCCCGAAAAGCAAACTCCGACGCCAACTCCCGAAACGAGCCAGCGCTCGAATTCGAGCATGAATTAGCTCGGCGCTCAGCAATCCGGGTGGGTTTCCTTGATCGATGCGCTCTGCAATCCAGGCAGCGACTGCAAATCGCCCGGAGACTACGGTTCTCTGGTACTGACTCTCCTGATTTTGGGGAAGCCGCTGCTCAACGGCTTTGGTATTCCTTCCAGCAAGCCAAGGAAGGCGGTTCGATGCGCTCTGCGCTCCTGATCTAGTCCGGAAGGAATCGTGGCGCCGCCGCCGCCGCCGCCGCCACCGATCCTCGGCTGATGGTGTGAGCGACCCTCCTCCCAGGCCGCGGCCTTTCCCATCGTCCGGCGCCATGAACCTGCTCCCCGTTAATCCGCACGGGAACGGGTTGCTCTTCGCCGGCTTCAACCAGGACCACGGTAGGGGATCCCCGGGGGCGCCGGGTGAGCGGGGGACGGAAGGGGAAGGTAGGGGTGGGTGGTCGTCTGCTTGCCCGCCTTGCCCTCCCCGTGCCCCGTTTCAGACGTTTGCGGGCACGGAAACACGGGCCTGCTTGCTTCCCTTTCCCCTCCCCGGTTCTTCGCTTCAGCCCCTTTTGGGAAGAGCGTCGGTTGTTAGCCCAGTTTCCCAGGAGGAGGTTAGCGAAAGGCCGGGAAGCCGGGCAGAGAATCCGCGCAGCTTTTCCTTCTGGATGGCGCTTTGGGTCTTCGGCACGTACGTGCCGTGGGCGCCTCGGCGCCTGGACAGATACTTTTGTCCCTCTTTTTTTGGCCGCTGCTACCGCTCTCTTTTCTGTTTGGGCAGTGGTTGTTGGCACATGGCCTTGATTTAACTGTGGTTTGTTCACTCCAGTTTTCTGGACTCGCAAGACTGAAAAGCCACCGACCAGTCAGTCTGTGTGCTCGGTGACTGAGAACAGACTTGGGAGGTTTTCCTGGGTAAGAGAGGCCAGTTCCCCATCGGCTAGTTCTAAGTAGAGGAGTCAGCAGGAAGAAAGCCAGAGGTTAGCGGAACTGATTTATGGTGAAGAATCACACCCATCCCACTCCTATATACTTTCTATTGCATCGAAATGCTGTGTAGTTTTGTGCCCTCCCCAAGATAAATAAGCTTTTATGAGGCAGAAATATTGACATAGGCAGGGCCTAAGCCCTCACTTTTTCCTTTCTACAGCAGATCGGCAATTTAACCTTTGTAAATAGGTACCAATCCTGACCTGCAACTCTTCCTGAAATAGAGCTCTAGTCTTTTCCTCGTGGCCAAGTTAAAGTGCTATTCACTGATTCTTTTTTTTAAAAATATTAGATTATAGAATAAAATACAAAAGCAAATAGTGGGACACAGTGGGGAGGAGAAAAGAAAAAAAGGCAGTTGATTTTCAACTTCCTTTGTTGGAGTAGAATAAGGCATTAACATCGAACCTCAACTTTTTACTTTTCCATAATAATATAAGCTAGCAAATAACAACAAATCAGTAAACTGAAAATCAAATTTCATTTTTTTTTTCTACCTCAAGCACCAAGTCCAGAAGTAGTTTCCATGTAGCAACAAAAGTACTTATATTCTTTTCTTTGATCAAAATGGGCAATTTAGGCCCAATCTCTGCCAACTCCATCAGCTTCTGTAGCCATTCATCCATAGGGGAAATTGAATTGTCCTTCCATTTTGGTGCGTACAGTAGTCTTGCTGCCATCAACATATATAAGATCAAAATTCCAATTTTTTTCCCAAGTCTTTTTCCATTAATCTATTCACTGATTCTTGAGCCGGCAAAAAAAGTATGCTGTCCTAAAGTGTGCCACTTCTTTCTGTGGCCGATCCCTACTCTGCCACACTAACAGAGATAGTGAATGGTGCTTAATTTACTGCAGGGTAAGTTAAAAAAAGGATTGATGGATCCCCATTTAGTTTCTCTTCCGAGATTTAATCGCTGATGGAAAACAACCATAACTCCTCCTTATATGTGTTAGGTGAATTTTAGACATGCTTTGAATGGTGGGTTTAGCCATCACTTATCAAATTGTCCAACTAATCGGCACTAAGGGTGTATTTGGAGTAAAGCAAGAAAGAGTTCTCCAAGTTTTCCTGCAGATTTTTCTGAACATTGATATTGCGCTTTCTGAAAGAATATAAACCCGACTGTCCCAAAGAGCCTGGCTAGCAGATAACCAACTGGAGGATAAAGTAAAGGAGAAGTAGGAGACAGCAGTTGCTTGATAAGGTATAAGCTCCTTCTTGACTAGGACTGTTGGGGTCAGAAAAGTAGAAGCAAAGTAAAGCAGAATGATCAAGGAGTTCAGTTTGTTTGTTTTATTTGTATTGCTGCCTACCCTGTAAACCAGGGGTGTCTAACCTTGGCAACTTTAAGACTTGTGGACTTCAACTCTGGGAGTTGAAGTCCACAAATCTTAAAGTTGTCAAGGTTGGACAGCCCTGCTATAAACCATTCAAAGTAGCATAGACAGTTAAAAGCACACTGTAACAGTAAAAGTAGAACTCAATAGCCAGCAAGCCCAAATGCCAGAAAATAACCATGGAGAACACAAGTCTTAGGGCTGATTTTGATTTATTTACTCTGAAAATTACAATAACCACTAGGGATCTACAAAATGTTCTATATACAAACCATTTCATTCACAGAAGAGCTGGTTTAAGGTTCTTCATACATGACTGAAATACAAGAGTTTTGGGTGGGTTGGCCTGTATATGAAATCAAACAGGGTTGTTTTGTCCTGATGTAGACCAAAGCATGATCGTTCTGGACAGTTTGATTGGAGAGGAGCACAGTTGGCTAAAAGAAGCAGAGGAAGGAAGATACTAAGAAGATAGGCCGGCAGGCAGTCTGTTGCAATATCTATATTAGGAGCTACTTCCTTGCAGCTGAGACTATTCCAGTAAAGAACAGAAACACAGTTGTTGCAGTGACTGAGGGAAGGAAAGAAAGGTCCTGCAAAGATTGAAGGAGGCATGGGCCTGCCAGGTGTGCTGGGAATTTCTGCCAGTGGAAATTAAATGAAGGGAGAAAAATGTGTATGTGTGTGTGTAAAGCTGCTAAGAAGGGGTGACATACATCAGCCCTGCCTTAAGTGAAAGGCATTCCTCCATATTTTCTATTATCTGCCTACCAAAACCACCAAACTGTTCTGAGTTTTGATTCTGCAGCCAATCTGAATTCAGCTGTACCTCCAGAACCCAATAGTTTCTTCTGGGTTGAATATAAAACATATTTCTAATTTTGTGTATATCCATAATCACCATAGTTATCTATGCAACAGGCAAAATGATGCTGCCTCAATTAAAGGAGAGAGAATTCATAACCATGGTGGCCTCTTTCCTATTGTCAGTTGTACAGTACTGAACTAGAGGGCTTTCAAAAAAATACAAGATCCATGGTTGAAATGCTCACCAGGGCTACGGTTGGAGTTCTTGCTTGACAGCTGCTTTATTATGAAAATTGCGAGTATTAAACCTGTATTTTTCTGCATGCAAGGTACACTTTAACGAACTATTTATTTCATTCTTTGTTAACGTAGAACATTTATACCTATTTTGGCAATCTTTTTTTAGGATGCTTTGCATGTGGAATGGAAAATGGATTTAGAGTGTTTAATGCAGATCCACTCAAAGAGAAGGAGAAACAAGGTGAGATGATTCCTCAATATCCATTGCTGCCTTTCCATTGCTAAATAATCCATTGGCATTTTGATCCTGTGCCTGGAAGTTTGAAGAAAATCCAAATAAATTTATTACATTTTGCTCCCAATTAACTTTGCATAAGATTATAGCCTTAAAATAAAATGTTTGCTTGCCAGGGAATTCTGAAACTTGAGGGCAGTTCTCATTAACTATTCATGGCAATATTGCTTCCTGATTTATAATAGTTATCCATAATATATAATCAGAAAAAAAAAACCTCTGAGCATTCTAAGAGAGAGAGAACATTTTCTCAGAAAGAGGCAAACAAAAATGTACTACATGTAAGTCTAAATGTAATGTAAAGTCTGAAGAGAAATTCCCTTTATTCTACACATATATTCTGGCATTAGTAAATTCTGCATTGAATGTTTGATTTTATATATATTCTTCCTGCTCTGCCCCTTAGAATTCCTAGAAGGAGGTGTCGGCCATGTTGAAATGTTGTTTCGCTGCAATTATTTAGCTTTGGTTGGTGGAGGGAAAAAGCCAAAGTATCCTCCTAATAAAGGTATGGTATGGAATATTAAATAGTATTTTTACCCTTGGGTTCAGTCTTAAAACTGCCACAATGCTGTAGCTGAATTGTATACCTCTCCTGAGTAGTTACAGTTTAAACAAATGTGAGGGCAGTTCTAAACTTTTCAGAAGGGGGCAATGAAACTATTTATTTGTTAGAGCAGACCCCGGTCTCTTGTACTTCCTATGTATGACTGTTTATGGTTTTTATTTATAAATAAATAATAAACAGATGCTACTTATTGCATCTCTTAATAGACATATAGTACAAATAAAAAGGTACAATCGGGTTAGAGAGATGGATTGGACACAAGATGAAAGATGGGGAAAGGTTTAAGAATGGGATCCATAAAACTGAATGTAGGAATAGCTCAAAGAAATTTAGGGGATCAAGACTGGGGAATTTTGAGTTTTGTAAGAGTTGTTACAAGTGATAGAAGTTGTAATTTGTTTCCATTCTGGTTGGATCTCACGAAAGTTGGAGTCCAACGTTTTTTGAAGATATCCCAGAATTAAAAAAATATCTGTCCAAATTTGGAATAGGAATATTTTGCTTTATCTGTATATTGGGATATAACTTTCTACTGGAGCTAGTGTTGAAGGTGCTTGTTTTAAAATTAATAAGATACTTCCTTCTCTGCAGTGATGATCTGGGATGACTTGAAAAAGAAGACAGTTATTGAAATAGAATTTTCCACAGAAGTCAAAGCTGTTAAGCTGAGAAGGGACAGGTAAGTGCTCAGTTTGTGGAACAGAAGGTTCCTTTTATTTATGTTTGTTTTGATTTGTTCCATTAGTTAGATATTTTTAAGGAAGGAAAAGACTGTGAGTGTTCATTATTTATTAACACACTGAACTGTTTTGAATATGATGGAATAAAGGAAGGGATACTGTACTGATCTGCTTCAGTAAACACAAATCATTCTCAACCTTACAGAACCTCTCTGGCAGAAATATGCATGAGCTCCTGCTTTATAACTACTTCTGATATACTTTTAAATAATTTTGAAAGCTTTGCTGTAATAGCCTAAAGCAAAAGGAGGAAAATTGATCTAGGGTTGGCATAATCATGCTTTCCAGTGCAATCTGAGTGCCGTATCTATTTCCGTGCCTTTTCTCTTCCAGAATTGTCGTAGTTTTGGACTCTATGATTAAAGTTTTCACATTCACACACAATCCTCACCAATTACACGTTTTTGAAACTTGCTACAACCCTAAAGGTACGTGGTCTCCATTGCGGAGAAGACATGTTGATTTGTGTTTTGCTGGCATTATGCTTGTGGGGGTCAGTTGGTGTTGCTTATTTGGCATGTAGTCACTGTTCCTAAGACAATTTGGCATTTTCTAAATGGAAAGCAAATGGTTTATTACTGAGCTCAGTAAGGTATATCATCCCCGTTGCATGGGGTGGCAGGGCGCAGCAGCCATTTGTCTTTATCTTGAAGTTTGAAAAGAATCTTTTGGGAAGGTCCCTCTATCATATAATTGTTCTGACCTAGGCTTCCTTAGATGGCATAAAACACAATCTTAGTTCCAGCAAAGCCTCTTTTATTTCAATGGTTGTGAATTACGTTCATTCACAGCCTGCAAGGCTTCACAAACAGTCTTTCAGGGGAATGTTTATAAACACTCACCTTATCGCACTTGGAATGCTGCCAGAGAACTAATTGTCAAACACAGAGAAAGACCAAACTTGACACACACAGTCAAACAGAACTTTTCAAAGCTTGAATTGACCAGACAAACTAATTGCTTCCTGCAAAAGCTCATGTCCCGTTTGCTCCTCTTTTATGAGCTATGGGAGGGACCAATCATCTCCGAGGTGTGGCCTTACTCCTGAGTCAACCCTCCTTTCTCAATTCTTCTTGTCTTCTGGTAGCCCTGCACATGCGCGGACTGGGAAATGGTTTCAGAAATTCCCCTGCCTCACTGCTGTCTTGAGTCTGAAGGGAGCTGATGACTGCCAGCCTGCCCTGGCCCCATCCCTGCCTCCGACGCAGAGCCCTCATCCGAGCCCCCCTCAGCCTCCAAGACTGGCCCAGGTTCCTCCCCAACCTCCTTGCTATTGTCTGACTCTGCTGTCAGCTCCGTCGGCCAAAACACTAATATTAAATGTAAATTCTGAGGATTTATTACTGCCAGGCCCCAAGAACTAACAGAACTAACTAACACCTGGAATTACTTTTGAGCAGCTTTCTTTATTGCTCCTCACCTATAGAGAGAAATCTTGCCAAACTAAAGCAACTATTTGCATCGCTATAGATACACTCTGGGAATCATTAAGGGAAGAATCTCCTTGACTCTTTCTCCTGACCAAACTTTACATGCTTCACTATCTCTTTGCCCTCTGGAGTGCAGGCCTTCCCTTCTGGAAATCCAGACTACATTCTACCACAATTATACAGATATTAAAGTTTCTGGCTATATAATGCATATTATACATACAGAAGTAATTTTTGCTAATCTTAACTCTAAACTACAGATAGAAGACATACATGTAATTGTAATTCAGGGTTGAACTGTGGGGTCCTTGATGCTCCCTCAGCTTGGTGTTCTTCTTGCAGCCATTTCATTACCAAATGAAATAGCAAGTGGGTTGATAATGTTGCCGAGTTTCGTAATGAAACATCTGCAAGGAAAGACCCAAGCTCAGAGACGACCAAGAACCTCAAGATAATCCTAAAGCGTAGCTTACTCTGTGAAATGGCTCATCGGTCTGAGGACATTAAAACAACTTTAGGTGGGATGGTCTGAGAGATACTGTAGTAAAAATAGCTGTTCTTTAATACTTGCACTTGTTTATTTTAGGTCTTTGTGTTCTATGTCCAAATAGTAATAATTCCCTACTTGCATTCCCTGGAACACATACTGGACATGTGCAAATAGTAGATCTAGCAAACACTGAAAAACCTCCAGTAGATATACCTGCTCATGAAGGAATCTTGAGTTGTATAGCCCTAAATTTGCAGGGAACAAGAATCGCTACAGCATCAGAAAAAGTAAGCAAAATGTTTTCTTATATAGTTAACTACAGAGCCACACAACAATCTTAAATGTGTTGATATAAATTTTGAATAGTGTCTTGATAAGAGCCTGTGTGTCATTCTTAGATTTGTTTGTTTGTTTATCACATTTATAAGCTTGCCCTCAAGGTAACTCTGGGTGCTTACAATCATAAAATAGAAATTTATAAACTAAAATATACTGTAAATACTGTAAGCTCATATAAAATCCAGAACACCCTGGCCCAATGAAAAGATGGGGAGGGTAGGAGCAGGATGATGGGAGGGAGGTGGGATCCATTCTTCATCAACCACCTCTACAGTGATACTTCCCCACTGGGGCCCCAACCTAACTGGTCAGAGTCAGGTCTTTAGGGTCTTCTGGAAGGTCAGAAGGGACTGAGGATTGAGAGCAAGATGTTCCACAGGGCAGGTGCAACAGCAGAGAAGTCCCTTCTCCTGGATCCCACCAGTCAGAATAATCTCTAAGGCCACCCTGTCAAGCCTTCAGCGGTTTATATGAGTGTGGAGAAATTGGAAATTAATTTCTAAGATCTCTGGATTATGATAAATGGACAAGAATGCCAAACTTCCAGTTAGTAGCCATTATTAAGTCTAAATTAAATTGTAATGGATCTGGAGTGGTTTTTATATTCTTTGTGTATGTTAGTCATCTCTAAGTGATTCCATTTTTATCAAGTTACAGTTTGGTCTATTCTTCACTGTTTTACAAAACATATTATTTATCTTATGCAGGTGTAAAGCTATATCAATTAACAACTTCAGCTTAGCAAAATCTTTACTTTGAAAGCCAATTTCATCGATGTCATTCATGTAGCAATTCCTGCACCCTCCTTTGCTAAGTGAGGATTGTCATTCATTAGGCGAGCCCCTGTTTGCAGTTTCCTGCCAGCTTCCAACAACCAAAGTCAGTGGGGAAGCTTGTAAGAACTTGCAAGTCCCAAGCCGTCCGCAAAGAGGCAGATAAGTGATTGCTGCCAGGTGGTGGGGCTCTGAGTGGTGAGGGTGATATGGCACAAGCACCAGTGTTTAGGGGGGGCTGCTGCTAGGGAGAGGGCTTGAGATGGCGGATGCTGAAAGGGGGAGTAGGAATGATGGGGAAGGCATGAACAGAGCAGCAGGACTTGGAGTGGCTGCTGCAGGATAGGAACAGGTGCGCAAGTGATCAGGGAGATGCAGTGGAAGCAAAACAAGGCTTGGGAAGGATGCATGGCTGGCTGGCTAGGAGCAGCACAAGCATAAAAGGGTTGGGGGAGGTGCATGGGTGGGTGAGACTTACCCAAGGAACTTGAAACCTTCCCTTGACTCTGCTTGTGGACAACAAGAAAGAGTGCAGATTGTGACCATGGGACACTGCACCTGTCATAAATGCAATCTGGTTAGCAACTGCCCAGATTACAATCGTGTGACTGCAGAGGTACTGATATGGTTGAAACTTTGAACACTGGTTGTAACCACTACTTGATCAGTGCCATAGTATTTTTGAATAGCCACTGAACAAGTAGTTGTTAACCAACAACTGCCTGTTTACAGGTAAACTGGAAAGGAGTTTTAAGGGTATTGTACTGGACTCTAAGGACACCAAATTTTAACTTCCCAATTGAGTGTTAAGTTCATTAAATGACTTCAGGTCACTATTTGTCAGCCCAGACCCCCTTGCAGAGTTGTTATGAAAATAAAATGGAGGTGACCCCTGTATATAGAAGTCGCATTCAAATTTATATACCACCCTGTGGCACTTTATAGCACTCTGGGCAGTTTACAGCATACAGCATTATTTGCATATTGCCCCCAACAATTTGGCTCTTCATTTTACAGAAGGACAGAAAGCCGAGTCAGCCTTGAGGCCCGTTCAAGATTGAACTCCAAACTGTGGGCAGAGTTTGCCTGCATTACTGCATTTAACCAATGTGCCATCAGAGCTCTCTGGATATAACACTGAAATCTTTAGAGGAAACTCATTATAAATGTAAAAGCCAAATGAAGTTAAACATCAGTCTATTTTGATCAGTTTGACTGGATAAGCTGGTCACTAAATTTTGTGGTGATAGGTGGACTTGGGGAATGCTGGGACCAAACTGGGGGTGTCCTTCACAGATGTTAACAAAGGGAGAGGTCTTGCCTGTTCATAGATGTCTGTTCTGAGAGTTTCTGATCAGTAACACACCATCAATTTTCCTTATAGGCAAAAGCAAAAATCACGCCAAATCAGGGGTGTCAAACTCACGGCTGGTGACCTGGATGCGTCACACACTGGCCATGCCCATCCCGTTTAGCGAAAGGAGAAAAAGTTGTGATACGTCACGTGACAACAATGTGTCGTCACGAGTTTGACAGCCCAGCCCTAAATATTCCTTGGAAATGGGGCTTGAGCTCAGACATGTTTGTGAATTCAGTCTTCTGTTCCAACATCCATTTCACTAAAGGTCAAACTGCCAGTAAAAGGAAATGCAGGCAAGATGTATTTTTTGGGCGCAGAGGCAATATATGGCTATTAGGAAGTGTATGTAACAGTTAAAAAGACTGAAGAATCTATTGGTTTTGTATCGCTTTCCACAACTTCAAAAATTGTTATTCTTTTTCAAGGGGACCCTTATAAGAATATTTGATACGTCATCTGGGCATTTAATTCAAGAGTTGCGCAGAGGATCTCAGGCTGCCAATATATACTGGTAAGTTTTGCTTTTCTGAGTAATCACTAGAGAATTAAAGAAGGTAGAAGTGAAGGAGAATTTTTGAACTGCACATGGAGAGGATGGTTCCTTGACATTGAATGTAAACTATTTAAATATCATGCCATTTCCATTTACGGTTTGTTAACATTTAAAATTATTTCTGGATTCAAATTTGTCCTAGCTGCCCAATTCCAACAGATCAACAGTTAAGTAAGAAGTAGGATGTCTTTAGAAAGCAACTTTGTTCTATGACAAACATGGAATAAAGAGATATGTCACTTCTGATTTCTCCATTAGTATAAACTTCAACCAAGATGCTTCTCTTATCTGCGTGTCAAGTGACCACGCCACAGTTCACATATTTGCTGCAGAGGATCCCAAAAGAAATAAGCAATCGAGGTAAGGGGACTGGGGCTGCGTCTAGCAGGATTTGTGTTTCATTAAAAATGACCGAGAAAGTTTGATAGAGAGTGTTTGCCACGATAGTGAAAGGAAATCTTTATGGATGTGAAAATTGTCTCTTACTAGCTCACAACAAGAAACTAAAAACATTTCCAGAAGGGAAGTGATTCCCTTCCACATTTCATTTTTTTTCTGGAAACTGTTCCTGAATATGTTTTTCTGAAAATGTATCTATTAATAATTTTCTTTACAAATGGTTGAAGTATATTTCATCTTCTTTTCAACTCGTTTGCCTTTATTAGAGCATTGGTATGATTACTCTTGAATGTTTTTAACTGTAAATTCTGTGATTACTCCCAATATTCTTAATAACATCCCCTTGATATTTTTGCTGTATTTATTGATATTCTTGTGGTCCTCTCTTGTTCTTTTTGGATTGAGATTATCCTCCTTGCTGCCCAGAGCTTCATCTTTTTTGTCAGTTGATTCAATTACACTCCCTTGAAGACTTCAATTTATAGTTGGGCAAATGCAACGCTAGCCTTAACCTTGAATTTGATTAAGCTGTTCCAATATAAGGTTAATGCAACTCCTATAATTGTTTCTGGAGATGTCAGAAATTTGCATTCTTTTAATTGCTGGAACCTGCTTATCTTACACCTGGCTTGAAAAGAAACTCCAGATTGCTGGAGGTAGGAAATCTGTGCATCTGCATTATTAACTACCAGTATGGCTTCTGATTCAAGTGCAAGTTCGAGTTATGGCATCTTAAGCCATAACCATTTATACAAGTGTTCACAATATCAACCTTCTTTTTTTTATAAGTTTTCATTCATAAACATTTTTGAATAATAGTGCATTGACAGAGCATTATTTACAAATAGAACACGACCAACATACGTTGGTAATAAATCTCAACATACAATTACCAATAGTAATGCTATAATAACAATACCAATAATATAACCAAAAAAGTTGATCTAGATTTTTTCTTACACTAAATTACATTTTTATGAATTACTACTTTTATATTTATCTACCTCTTTAATACATATATTAACCTTCCTCTTTTCTCTATGAAATTTATTCCATGTCCGATAGTATTCTGAATCATCTTTGCCTTTAATTTTTAAAGTTAATCTATCCATTTCAACAGTCCCAAACATTCCTAATTACAACCTCCTCCAGTGGAATAGTCATATTTTTCCAGTATTTCACATATGTAACCCTTGCTGCCATCAATATGTGTAACACTAAATATGTGGTCGCTTTGTCAAAATCCTCTGACAGTATACCTAAAAGGCAAGTTTCTGATTTAAACTCAATATTTTGTTCAGTTATCATTTCCAGCCATTTGTGTATATTCTCCCAATATTTTCTTGCTTTATCGCATGTCTACCACATATGATAATAGGTGCCTACAACCTAGTTACATTTGCAACATTTGGTGGCAGATAGGTTGCTCAACATTTTCACCAATCTTGCAGGTAAAACATCTTATAGAGATTTTCTTTGTAAGCTGAGGCCATAGTCATTTTGTAATTTCTATCCCAAAATTTTTGCCAATTCTCCAATTCTATATTATAATCAATGTTTTTTGCCCAGCCAATGGTCATTTCTTTGACCATTTCTTCCTCCATTTTGTAGTTCAATAAGTAATTGTATATTTTTAATAAATTTTTTGTCAGTCCCCATTAAAATTTTATCCAATGCTGTGGGTTCTTTATTTACACCCCATGTTCTAACATCTTTCTCATATCTTGACTGGATCAGAAAATACGGCCTCAATATCAACCTTCTTACTAGCCTTCTCCCATTCTGAAAATCAGAGAAATATCTTAATTTTTACTTTTGCATGTTATGCTGTTGTCCACTAGGGCTCTGCAGTAATCTGGCTACGAAGAGAAAAGCAGATTCAGAACATACGTAGGTGCATATATAGGCACCTATGAGTATCTCCAGAAACAAAAACCATTTTTTTTGTCCCATGTGAGCCCAAGAAAAAACAATCACATTTTCTCCTTTGCATCTGGATCACTACATTATCCTGGTTGCCATAAATGGGCAAGATTTTGGTACTAAATTAATTCATTTTTTGAAAGCAACTACTGTTTCCTACCCTTGATGATACATCATTAACTGTATTCTTATGTGGTTTTCTTTGTTTGTCAGCCAACTTTAGCACTATTTATACATAAGAGTTGGGGTGGTAATTAAATAAGCTTATACAACCAGTAAATAACTGAAATTATTGCAATTGTCAGCAGCTGCTAGCATCTATTTTATTTCTGTGCCTGACTTCAGTAGGTTCTCAAAGATTTTTTTTAATCTCTTAGCTTAGCATCAGCCAGCTTCCTGCCCAAATATTTCAGTTCCAAATGGAGTTTTTCCAAGTTTCAAGTTCCCTCTGGCTCTCCCTGCATCTGTGCCTTTGGAACAGAGCCGAATTCTGTCTTAGGTAAGGGTCCTAATTTAATAAATGCTAAATGTTTATATTTATTATATATATTTATTACACACACACACACACATACTAAAGTCCTCAAACTTAAGTCTGAGATTTCAGTATAAAAAGTTACATGAATTATGAAGCTGTTAAGGATGGAGCAAGTCATGCAATAACATGGAGGTCAGTATAAATAATCCTGAGAATTTTTAACTTGATGTTTGCTGATGCTCAATGTTGACATCTTCCTCTTCTTCACACCTTACATTGCAAATGTGTGATTTCTATAATTATTTTCATAGCAATGACTTGAAAAACCTGTCTCTCTCTTTTCCTAGCAATCTGTGCAGATGGCAGCTACTACAAATTTTTATTCAATCAAAAAGGGGAATGCTCCAGAGATGTCTACGCTCAGTTTCTAGAAATGACTGATGACAAACTTTGACTGGACTGTTGGACGTATGGTTTGGTGGGGCAAGTTATCAGAATCCCCATCTCAATTCTTCTCCTGTTGAAGAGACAACTTCTGACTTGCCAATTTGATGGCACTCTTCAAGATGGGACTGACCTGGTCAACAATTGGAACAGGGCAAAGGACTGATAATGTTAGCTCTCCACGGTTGGTTTTAAGTGTTACTTTGGCAGCTGCTGTTCTTTTCCTCTTCAAGTTTCAGTGTAAGGGTTCTCCCTGTTAAGTATCAAAACAGAGTACCTGCCACATTATAAAGCTGGAAAGAAAGGTTACTAGAGTTTTGATCAGTTGAAGATTCTTCATATTAGATTCAGCAGGCAGGTTAATTGGGAAATGGCGACCCAGTCATTTATAGCAGCAGCTTTTGCATTTACAGATAGTTTTCTCCTAATTCCCAGAAAGAAACTGTAGCAAAGTTGCTCAAAGTTGCAATTACTCAAAAATTGAACAATCAAGTCTGTTTCCATATTGCTGTGAATAGGTATTCATGTCATGTATCAGAGGTGCCAAATATTTTATAGCAACCAACATCAAGTGCTGTTAATTCAGTGATTCTGCCAGGTAAGAAGTGTCGACAAAGAGGACTTACAAGGCTGTGTTGTCTCCATCTAGAATGTAATCATTCCATATTATTTACAATCTAGTCTTTTGTGTTCTGGTACTTACGCTGGAAAAGAAAAGGGTAATAATAAAAGTTCTGTGATAGCCAGCAGATGCCAGGCTCTGCTTCTACAGCCTCCAACACTTACGTATTCAGAACACACTCAAATGATGCCTTTTTAGAACTATAAGGTGATAAAGGGACATGCCTCGTTTTTCAAAACCCTTGGAATATATGTGACCACTTAATTTTAAATTATCACTACCTTACAACAGTTTCAATTAATTTCATTTGCACACATGCTTCAAAATTTATTGAAGGCTTAATGCATTCAGCTGTAAAGCATCCAAACTTTTCACTTAATTAAAACCTATACTCAAATGTGGGTTTGCATGTTGCTTTTAAATGTGTACTTAATCATGAAAGTTATTTTGCACATCTTTTGTAATATTCTTTAATTAAAAGTGACTAATTTACTGTATTCAGTTAGTGGCAGCAAAGTTGATGCTAATTTTACTTTCCTTATTAATTTTTGTAAAATGTGTTATATTGCCTGTGATGCAAGTCCCGTCATCCATATCCAGCTCCCGCTTAGTACCCAAGATTGAGGCTTCTCAAAATGTTTACCAAGAAACACTTTCTCATTCTTTATTAAAAATATGAAGGTCTTCCTTTCTCCAAGATTGACAGAATTCAAGAAATACAAATCTCACTTTTTACACATGGGGATTTTATTTTATGAATTTTCAAATTCATCTTGAAAGTACCATAATAATCTGGTCATACTTTGAAGGGACTTAATAGAAATGCTGTATACAATCAAAGTAATGTGCTGATGAACTTTGATTTTCCTATTTCAAAGGGAAAAACGAGGTAAACGAGTGTTAATGTGCTGCACTGAAATTGCCTGAAGTTCAACCAAGTTACTAATTTCAATTCACACTGCAATCAGTACTGGTTTGTAAATAAACCCTATGTATAAATAGGGTATTCATGACATGCTAAAACACAGCTGGCTACAGACACAGCTTTTTTTTTTTAAAGCGGGATGGCCTAAGCTGGATCAGAGATATTCCACAGGTGCTGAGTATGAGCCTCTCCCCAGTTTCCCCCCTGCCTTCTAGGGACTAGAATACAAAGAAAAGCTGCAATGCTTGCTTCTCTGTTTAGAGGCCCAAGACTAAACCACTAAGTTATTGCTTTTCACTGTATTTGGAATTGTTTGCATTCCAGAATTCATATTGATGGGAGAGGGCTTTTAAACATTAAATACTGCTATTCAGGTGACAATAGCCATTATTCAATTATCTAAATTTAAACCATGAATACAAACATTTATTCATATCAAATGTTAAAATAATTCAATGTAATTATATGTTTGCCAGGTTTTTATGTCACATGAAGAATACATGATTTAAATTCTCAAATTACATTTGCCACTTGTTTCTACATCCAATTTAGATAAACATTTTGCCAAATACATAAAAGCGTAGAAGCTATTCATGAATGCTTATATTTATGTGACCTCAGATCCCTAAGAGCCAGACCAACTTCAGGCTGCTTTAAGACCAACAACGTTCAAACATAATCACACAGTAATATGTCCCAACTCTTTAAGTATAAACTAGGCTTTTATAGAACAAATTATATTGGCTGAACTTAAGAGTAATTGCCATTTATGATAAATGTTGGTTATATATTCTGAGTTGAGCTTAAATGGAAATAATTTGGATAAAGGAGACAAGGTAGTGGTAGTCAGGTTCACCAGGTAAAATGACTTTATATCATCTAAATATGCTTGCCATTGCATTAAGCCATTGCATGGTTTGTGTTTTGGCATATGTGAACCCCATCCAATTATGATTTATTCAGATAATCCAACATGCCTGAAACAAGATTTGTAAACAAATCTTTTTAATGAATGAATAACAGGTAAAGATCTAAAACTCTTGCACATTATTTCCCTCAATAAAATCATCCTAGGAGAGAGATGCAACTTATTGGGTTATATGTAGTTGGTTTTGCAGTGTAACAATGATTTATAGTATACTAAGTAGCATGTATATTTATGGGCAGTATCCAATTTGTGTGGTATTGGGACCTGTAAGGGAACAGAGGGACACAAATGACAAAATCTGTTTGCTATCATCAGATAAACACCAAAATGTGATTATCAGAATCAAAAACATAATTATGATGTGACTATATCACCTATTGCTATGGACATTAGTGCATTGTTAGATTGGATTCATGCATTGTAATTCATAATGGAATTTTGACTTTAGCTTAACATACTGTACAAGCCCAACTGCTATTTCCTTGGCTGCTTAAAGGGAAAAATGGTTATAATAAGTGCATAGGGCAAAAAGTAAATTTAGCAATTCTAGTAAGATGCTATTTTTTCCTTTGTGTCTTTGAATCAGTCTTGACTATACAACTCCTTGCAGGTTTTTTGGCAATATTTTCAGAAGTGATTGCCATTGCTGCCTTCTTCCTAGGGCTGAGAGGGTTTGTCTGACCCAAAGTTACCCAGCTTGCTTCATGTGAAAAGTGGGATCAGGATTCATGTTCTCGCAGTTTCTAGTCTGAAGCCAAACTTGTAATCAAATTCAGCATGCTGCAATTTGAAATATTCTAAATTTCACACACTATTAGTTATATGCACTAAGAAATGTAATTGACCTACATTACTTTTTCATACATATCAGAGGAAATTTAACTGTATGAATTACAGCTGTTAAAAATATAAGGTAAACCCAACTCTTAGTGACTGCAGAGCCAGGTTAATGTAGTTTTGTTGGCAAAAATAAGTGGTTTGCCATCTATTTCCATGGGATTTTTTTTTCTTTTTGGATGCCGAAGAGGAATCTAAAATTTTGGGATTAAAAAAAAAAAGATTTCTCATCCAAGTACAAGCTCTGACATTGCTTAGCCTTTTATGAAATCATCAGCTAGATATCTAATAGCTGATGCTACACTGAATTCCTGACACTAAATTTACTCCAATGAATAAACTACTGCTATGATATACTACCAATAAAAGATCAGATTTCTTCATCTATGAAACAGTACCCTTACATCCACATGCCCTAGTATCTGAGGGACAACTAAAAATGGTGTCATTTAAAATGAACTTAATTAGCAATACCCTCAAGTTGTTTAGGTTACCTTGAAACCAATACAAAGCAACAAGTTCAGTAATTCATGGTACAATCAGCTGTTAATACAATGATTCTTAAAATGCTTGACCCAATTACTCTTTTCCCATTCTCGAATAAGGCCATTATCCCCACAAAACTCTCAAACTCTGTTGCCTTACAAAAATATTTGGCAGCAGCGGTTCCAAACTGGCTCAACTCACAAGCAAGCAATTACAAATTGCTCCATTACACAAAAGTTATGTCCAAATCACTACACAGACCCTCTATGTAAGTATTTATATAACTGATAACTATATTCTGATTTTCAGATTTTCTATTCTTCATTATTATTTTAAGAATTACATATACTTTTTCACTGTACCACTACCTAATTTTAAATCTTGTGCTTTCTGGGAAAAAAATCAGCAATAATTTCCCTCATTATTAGTGGATGATAAGCAATATTACTAACCCTACATTCTGTAATTGCACACCTTAGTTCTTGCTTTGTATGTGTACTTTATCCTACAATGCAATATGAATGAAACAGTTGTAACATTAAACTAAGATTTATCCAGTGTTTATTTTCATACAAACTCTTAGGTTATAGAAACCTGAGTGTTAAAATTTTGGTAAGAAAACAGAGCAATATTTGCAGAAAAAGTTCCCAACTTTAAGTATGGCTGTTTTTCCCCCCTGTCTGCTAGGCAGATGGAATTATTTTTAAATAAAGCTAAGACAAGTATCTCAAACATCCATCACAAAAGTAATTTGGAAATCATAGCATCATGTTCACGTCCACTGCTTGACTTCTGCCCTGAATGAAAATTATTATCACATGTCTCCCAATGTTTCCTCAAAATCTGAAACACAGGTTTTCCTAAACTTCTGGAACAGGTTTGGACAGCTTGGGGTGGGGGAGTGTCTGTTGTCATAGCAGAAGAGCTGTGACACCAGAGGAGATGGTAAATCTGCCTTATACTCTTCAGTATTCAAATATTTCTAAGAGTGAAATAACAGGAAAAAGCAACCATTTCTGAAACATCTTACTCAGTTTAAAATAGTCACAAAAGTAGAAAAAGAAAGGTTATTAACAGGTAAGAGCAATAGATTTAACAGTCTTCAAATTAAATTGTTGTTTTGACTTCTCTACCTAGTTCATAAATTACAGAGACTACAGTGATATAAGAGAACTTCCAAGTCTAAACCATTTGATTGTCTTAAACATTTTACCAGATTTTTTTATTCAAAAACTTGTGTCATTTTTCCTAATTATTCATGAAATAGTAATTTTATAACCAAATGTTTTATTAATAATGCAATATCATTACTTCTGAATTAGATGATCACAGCACAAAAAGTAGAATGCTGCAGATACAGAAAATGTTTTGCTTCACCCAGCCTATATTGGCTGTTATAAAACCAGCTAGTGTACATCAATTTTTCATAATCTGTTTAATACGTATTATCTTCATTGACAGTGTAACAGCAGCTCTACCGTGTGAGATAACATGATACTTGGTACAGATTTCTCATATTTGGTCTTCTGATAAAACATTTCCAAAAACTGACTAAATTGTAAGCCATTCCAAGCCATTTCAGTCCATCATCAAAATACAGATTCTTCTTGAAATGATAAAAATATATAAATTATAGCCCAAAAGAAAAAAAAAGAGCAAAAGACAAATCAAAGGTTAAAGCCAGGTCTTCACCTTCAATTCATCTTAAATATGTGAAAGGGACAAGAAACTATGTGAACTGGACAAAACAACTCTCAGCTGTTAGTTTAGTTCAGTAATAAAACATGAATTCTTCTTTCACAACTCAGAGAAGAAACCTTTAAAATATTCCAACTGCCAAACACTTTCTTTCTTAAAAAGAAAACTATTTCATTATACTATAGTAGCCACTGTTAGAAAACCACAGTGGCCACTCTTTAATGAAGACCCCAGAAGGTCTCCATAAGACATCAAAAGTTAAACTCATTAAGTTATATTTCTATTGGTGGATGCTTAGCTTAAAAATATTCAATATATCTCTGACAAGATATTTTTTATCTTTTTAAAAGGACATGTGATAAAGGCTTTGTTTTTCTAATGAAGAACAGTCTGTCATTTTAAACATACACAATATTATGAGACTTTTTACTTTAGACTGGAAAAATTTGCCAGGGACAAAGTCAACACAAAGTAACAAACAGCAAAAGGTAGCAAGAAAGAGAAACAGATAAGTGCAGCTCTGGTCAAATTCATAGCAGTTCTTTACGTCAGTTAACAGTTCATTTACACTGTATTTCTAATCAGTAACATGCAAGCCCAAAGAAGCATTTGATCACTACACA